ACAGCAGATATTTTTCAAGACCTTTAGTGAAGATATGTTATTTTATTTTTTCAGAGATCATACTTGAAACATGGCTCACAGTGACTTCCTCTATCCAGAGAACCCAAGGAAGCGGCAGGAAGTAAACCGGCTTCACCAGCAGCTCCTTGACTGCTTATCTGACAGCTTCCATGCCACCAATAAGCTGATAGGGGTTCTAAATACACACTTGGGCTGCACACTGGCCTCCACCGAAATGAAGAGAGATGGGACTATCAAAGAAAATTGTGACATCATCATCCAAGCCATAATGAATATCCAAAATGAACTGCAAAAGGTTGATGAAGCACTAAAAGAAAAACTAGAACCAACCTTGTATAGAAAACTTCAGGATATTAAGGAAAGGGAAACAGAGAAGATTGCAATCGTACAAAAGGTTATTTCAGTCATTCTGGGAGAAGCTACATCTGCAGCCAGTGCAGTGGCTGTTAAACTCGTGGGCTCAAATGTGACAACTGGCATAATTAACAAGTTGGTCACTGTGTTAGCTCAAATCGGTGCTTCTCTCCTCGGTAGTATTGGAATTGCTGTTCTTGGCCTTGGCATAGATATGATCTTCCGGGCCATCCTAGGAGCAGTGGAGAAAACACAGCTTCAAGCAGCCATCAAAAGTTATGAGAAGCATCTGGTGGAATTCAAGTCAGCCTCAGAAAAATATCATCATGCCATTACTGAGGTCACAGATATTGTCAAACACCAAATGAAATGAATAACCTTTTGGTTTGCCACTGGAATATTTTTCTGCTTCCCTCTTAATAACAGCATTTGCTTCTTTGATTTTCCATATGTTTCCAATATGGATATAAATGGGATAAAGAGTTCAGAAAGGGAAACTGGAGATGTTAAAACTAGATTAATCTTGAGTTTTGCACAAATAATGAATGACTGGATCAGCTGGTGCTAAAACCTGTGAGGTAAAAGATGTATATCCCAGCATGTTTTCTCACCCTACTCTACCAAATCTACATAGGAGTAAATGTTATCACAGAGCAGCAGGTGTAAGAATTGCTTTATTCTTTTTTTCTTTTTTACTTTCCAGTCAAAATTCTTAACATTTACATTGAATGCAGACACTTTCATGTCTACCACTAGCTTCAAACATCACTTAATACTAAGGAAGCATATTAAAGAACTTCTGGCTAGATACAAACCAAATAAAATAAAATAGAAATGCTACCATATTTTTTAACCATTAGATTTAGTTCAGTTTTCTATAGACAGGAAGAGACTGAAAATGGTTTATAATGGGCAGAGGTTATAGCTCAGTTGGTAGAGTGCTCGCCCTGTATGCTTAAGGCCCTGGGTTAAATCCCTAGTACCACAAAAAATAAAAAAATAAATGGTTTGTAACAATTGGTTTCAATGATGAGACAATGTATCTGTGAACTTCTACTAATTACACAATGTAATCTGGGTGGATTAAAAAAAATGAAAAAAGTTCTGTTTCTATAATTGTAATCCATGCGGACCAACTATGATGACTATGATGACAAAGTGTAATTCAGGTATAATTATAATTTAATATATATCACCCCAGCTATATATGCATAAAATGTGCTTGGAATGCAGAAAAGAAACTCATTACTCTTTAAATATTTGTTATTAAAAAAAAAGACAATTTATTATGAGTTTTCTGAAAAAAAATAACTTTGCTTTCAATACTAGCAGAAAGCAAGCAGTTGCCTCTGCTACCTGAAACATCACTAATTACTTGATTTTACAAAAATCCAGAGGCAATAGAGGCCTACTGGGTCAGGTGAATTTCTGAAGATACAAGTGTTCTCTAAATCCTTTATTAACTAATAATTTCTATAAAGACTCTTTTAAAGTCTACTTCCAAAATTGTAACACTGTTGATTCAGGAATATGTTTATTAGAGTTGATTCTTACATTCGACTACAAAAAAAGTCTTGAAATAAAGAAGTCTTCTCAAAAAAATGTTAATTAGGTACGTGAAAGATTAATCTTGAAAACGTACTCCATTTTCTTTCTCTTCTATTATGACTTTTTTATAAATTAGCTGCAAAATATCACAATTTAGTTCATCTCCAAATGAAATCTTTTTTGGGGGGGTGGTACCAGGGATTGAACTCAGGGGCACTCCACCACTGAGCCACACCCCTAGCCCTATTTTGCATTTTATTACTGACAGGGTCTCCCTGAGTTGCTTGGCACCTCCCTAAATTGCTGAGGCTGGCTTTAAACTCCAGATCCTCCTGCCTCTACCTCCAAGCCGATGGGATTACAGGCGTGAGCCATCGCCACCGCGCCTGGCCTCCAAATGTAATCTTATTTTCCTTTCTACTACTCTATAAACTTTGACTTAAAAGTCTCTTGTTATTGATTTAAGACTCAAATTCAGTCTAAGATCAAATTAAGAATTACCTAAAATAAAGGCTGGGTTAGTTTCTATATTAGGAGCACATCTGAATTTTCTGTCAAAAATAAATGGGTTTCCATCAATGTTTTGAAATATTTATAATTAGAATTTGCCTATATCTGTTTTCTGTTAGTGGACTTGGATTAAGATCACAAATAACAAAGCATGTTTCTTAACAGCAGAATTTTTAAACACTTAACCTACCTTTAAGGAGAACAGATGGAAAGGAGTCCTAAGTAAAAAAGTATAGAGGGGAAGGGGGAAGTCTAGACATAAGTAATCCTGAGTTAGTGACCTCATAAAGGGCTTTCAGCCCGTGAAAAGATGAGTTCGGAAGGGAGCCGATACGTACCAATCTCGTCACCTGCAAATTTAAAATTACAGCTGTATCCCTACATGTGCACTTCGCCACTCGTAAATTTAAAACTAAAGGCACGTGTATCCCCACATTTTCTCGATCTTGTCGATTATCAATTTGAGCCGCTAATACGGGCATAGATTTATTTGTTGAGACGAACAAATAAACGAACGTTCTGTGTATTGATAAGACTACTGAATCCCAGATGCCCCAGGCGCCCACATGGGATAACCAGATGCTTACAAAGCACATTCAATTCTGTGGCAAGTGTTATTCAACTCGATTTCAAATGGCGACACTCACAAAAGCTTGCGCCCGTTTACATTATAAGAAATACGAAAATCCAACAATTAACACAATTCCGGGGATAGAAAGAAGCCAAAACACCTCCGTTTTCCAAACGCACCGGAATCGCACGGCTCAACAGACTTGCGGTAATTTAGTCAGAACGCCCCGGACCCGAGAGGCAAAATAAACAGCCAATCAGATATGGACTTTCTTTTTCTTATTCCTATTGGGCTATAAAGTGTCAATCGACGTGGGCGGGCTCTTAGCCTATAACCAGCCAATGGGCATTCTTTTATAGCGGAAAAGCCTCTAGTCCTGTAGTTCTTGAGCGCTATCTATGGTTCCACTACAGAACAACGCTAAGAGATCGTCGACCCTAGGGATAGGAAGTGACGTAAGGATGGCGGTGGGGCGCGAGGTTTCAAGATGGCGGTGGTTAGGTGGTTGACCGAGAGGCAGAGGTGAAGGCCCCTACGAAGTGAAAGGGGCCCGGAATCGCCCCCTCCCGGCTTCTCGCCGTCCTGGGAGCCCAGCAGTGCTGTGAGTACATGGGATTGCTTTACTCCGCTTTTTCATCTCTCCGGTCCATTCCTAGGGCCCGCGCGGTTGCCCTGGGGACATCAGGCCCCTTTACCCGGCCCTTCCTCTTCCCAGTTGGGATCTCCCGAGCAGCAGACTG